CGAAGTGTTGAATCACAGCCAATTGGCTCTTCTTGTTTCGTTGCTTCTTTCTGAGAGACGGTATGGATCCTTTGCGCTATAAATGAGATGGATCAGACTGTGATAAAACACACGAGGTTAATGTGAGTTTGCTGCAAGTCTCAGGTAAGTTTTAGAGTTTGTTAAAATAATCTAAATTCAACCAGACACGTATCTCAGTGGAAAGATGTTATGAACTGTAATATGTAAACTATTTTGAGTGTAAGACGTGTAGAACTCTGTTAATCACTAAATATGAATCGGTCAACCTTTTTCAGGAAGATAGATTATGAATAACATATGAAACTGCCAATAATGAAAGTTGTTCATTTTCACTTTAGGAAACTAACAGATGAATTCTCATGGTTGTACCAACACTTCACAGAAACTGGAGAGGAATCAGTATACTGATTCTTCTTAACGGTTCTGCGAAGGGTTGGTCTTTTTCACTCACCACTTCGTTAATACACTTATTTAATAAATGCACCTAACGTGGCGGGTTGTTTGGGCATACTCTGGGCAGTCCACATATAGAACACATCCGTTTGTAGCGTCCTGTAACCATCAAGTATAATCGCGCGAAAAGGCGATGGTTTGCATTGTTCGTTTCCGTTCCGTTTTAACAAGACCCCAAGTAGTGTTTAAATGTGATTGGTGTTGCCGACGCCCCATACCATGACACCTATCACCATGGGTGTTTGCAAAGGCTTTTGGCCTCAGCGCCATGATGTAAACGGGAATGGCAACTTTACATGAGCTAAAATTGTGGTCATAAAATGTTCTTAAGAAGTACAATAACGAGGTTTATGGAAATAATAAAATATTAATTTGTGTATCTACTTTGAGTCTTGAGCTATTGCAATCCTCGGGAATATAAACTTTGTTAAATATGGTGTCCAAAATATTTTCTGAAAATTGTCCAGAGGACCCAAGCAAATAAATATATCAGTTCTAATATATATGCTTTCCTCCCTTCTTATTAGTATTATTAATAATTTTATTAATGTGTATAATAATCTCTGGAATATTACGATTTATGCAGTCGTTTGGGTGAAATATAATTATATAAAGTTTTGCTGTACACGTCGAAGAGAGGCCGCAAGGGGTGAATGTTCCAGACTGGGGGGACGGTGCGGTTTGCTTCTACAGAAGGACGGCGCATTATCTTAGTTTCCTCTTTACATATCCTTCCGCCCTTTATAAGCAGTTTGTAACTTGCTCAAGCGTATTATTGTAGATGCTTTCCGAACGAGAAAGCGTTCTCCAAATAACGAATGCTTTGTAAATGTAGCAACTGTATCTTTCAGCTTTTATTTGAATATTCGGGCAGCCCTCAGGCCCATACAGTACTGCAATATCATCTAATTTAGGCATGACTTCAAGAAGCTGGAATATACGTTCAAATATACCTTACCACGTAATTGAATGATACGCGCCCTCCTCGATACATTGCACGCAAATAATCCCCCCTCCCCCCCCCCCCCCAAAAAAAAAAACCGTTATAAAAAGGACTAAGAAAAATATGTACTTTTGTTTACGTATACACTAGTCGTATGTAAGTTTACACGATTAACATAGTTTAAGGTATCAAGATCGTGAGTCCATTTAGCAAGTAATAAAATTACTAAATCGCGGTGAACATTATTCTAGTAAATACAGAAATGGGTTTACATGTTCTGTTGAGGGTTGCTAGTAAACTTGGCTTGCATATTTTATTGGCGGTAATGTTATAGTGACATCATTTCTGAATCACAAGCTTGTAAGTTAGAAGTTATAATTTGCAATTTATGTAGGTTAGAAAGCTTATTGGTTGAATTACGCAGACATATTCTGAACATTTTTGTCTAAGACATCAAAAGCTTGAGCTCTACTTGGCCCCAAATCACCAATCACTACAAGTTTTACTCCATACCAAGATAAATCGGGGATTGAATGACCTTTGTATCAAAATGCATAAAAAAAAAAGTTTCAAATTTGTTTTTGATGACAATCGTCCCACAATGAAAAAAAATGTGAAATTGTCGCACCAATTAAAATAACACTCTTGTTATTTCCTTGTAAAGCTGATGAACTCTGCCGGTGCGTTCGCAACATTATTCCGGAAGACAAGAACTTTGTTATATTTTTTTAATAATTCCGTAATAACTTTGTAATTCATTTTCACATGCGATAGCTTATAGTCAAGATATCTATTAAACCTAAAGAACATGGCATTGTAGGTATCTTTGTGATGTTATATAATTACTGTAGGATTGGATTCGTTCGGTTTGAAGCAGCTTGAATTTACAGCAAACTGGCTTGTTGACTGCTTAGGTTCGAAGTATTTAATGCAGCAGTTTCACCAATTCAATCTCTACGTATTTTTTTTTAACATTTAGTGAGACTTGTATCAATCGTGTTAATGTTTCCGAGTCGTATGTTGTTTTAAATACAGGGTGTACGACTTCTTCAAACATATTGTTTTAAAAAAAAAGGGGGGGGGGGGGAGAGAGTTACGCCCGCGCATTAATCAGGCGCGGCAGACATTAGATGGGAAAATGCCCAAAAGTAAGTTGTCTAATTAATTAAATTATGTTGATTATCTCCGTACTTATTATGGGCCATGATGCAGTTACAGTTTCGACGAGCTTTGAAATTGGAGCTTAAACCAATTTAAACATGACACAGAAAGAATAAATCAAACTCGGAACAAAGGACGGCGACCATACCTTTAAGATATTCGAGAAAAAAAAGAAAACTGAAACCAAAAGTTTAGAAACAAAGGTTTCTCAACGTTTCGGGGTCGACTTAACTCCTTCAGGGGTGACTTAAAATGGAATGGGACAGCGCGAGCTTCAGCCTCTGTTGTTTTGTGAACGTGACGCAGGCATAGTGTGTTGCCCGGTGTGCATGGATATGCCACGACACCAAGAACAGGCGTTTTCGAATATCTGGCTCCGTGTCTATCGCGTGCGCGTTTCTGAAGTCGATCCGATGATCAAACACCTCGCAATGTTCCGCGACGGTGCTGCGCTCGCGATTGAAATTGCGCACATCGTTCTGGTGCTAGCGCATGCGCTCGGAAAAAGATTTAGTTTCACCGATGCAGGCGGCGGGGACTCCCTGTCTTCTCTGTTTGTCTTAAATGTTCCTCTTTCCTTACCGTAAACGGGGCACTCTGCACACGGTATCTTATAGACCACGCCTTGTGCTTTCTCTTTTGGGAGGCGATCTTTCGGCCTTGGCATGAGCCGTCCTAATGTTGACACTGGCTTGTGCGCCACTTGGATCCCTTGTTTTTGGGGCACGCGCGCCAGTGTCTCGCTCGTCCCTTTTACACAGGGGACGCTGATGCGCGCGATGGGGCGGGGCTGTGTGTCACCCGACGATCCATGGTTATTGCGCGTGCAGCACTGTCGACGGGCGACGCCTTGAACAAAACTCCTTGAATAGCCGTTTCTTTGGAGGTCAGAAAGTACGTCTGTTTCTCCTATCTTCTGTCTCTTTCCGACGAGCAGATGGTCATTACTCTGGACAAGAGGGTAGAGACCATTGACGTCTTGTGACTCGTTGGGTGGTTCGTCGTCCATTGTCTCGAATTTGTTTCATTCTTTCTGTGCCAACTTTACCATTACTTTCTACAGTTTATGGTCATTTTTAACAGTTTTGGAAAAGGTAACGGGCTTCAAAACATGAATCACCAGGTTTTCACGTTTTTGAGACACTATTTTCAATCTAGGCAAAGAACGTGCGCTGCAACTCTTGTTCATAATAATGCGTGAACGAGTGACCTACTTGTTTCGAACCTTTCGTCATTAGGGAGTTCTTGTAGATTGTTTCTGCCGGCTTGCAACGCTCTCCGTTTCGAAGACGCTCCTACTGCGTATGCGCGCCGCTAGCCTTGTTTGCAGAGTTTCGGGTGTCGTTGCGGGTTGCGATGAGAGGAGGTACAGCGGAAAGGATCTACAAAAACTCCCTAATAGAAAAGTTTTACTAGGTCGTTCCGATACCTCCGATAACGATACCTTATAAAGATACGATGTATGCGCTTAGGCGTCGGCGGTGTATCAGGCATCGATATCAAAGTCATCGGAACGATCAACTAAAACCCTCTAGTATTTTGGCAGCGTGACATCGGTGGTACTTGACGGATAATAAAGAGGTGCGCGAACCGTCTATGACACCTTTTTATGAATCATTGTGGACGAAAGTTTCGGCGTTCTTTCTGCGTCCAATTTCAAAATCAGGCAAAAAAATGAACAAGAAAATTTATTGATGAGGATCTCAAAACTAGTAGGTATTTCGGAAACTGTTTTAATTGGCTTAGCTTCTAACTATCGTCAACACGGCAAGTGCAGCATAACTTACCAATGAGGCAGTAACCATGACGGTAACTGCCTCATCTAATGTTCACCCAGCCTGGTAAATACATGGTGAACACCGGCATTCGCCTAACTCTCACCTACTTTAAGAATCTGTTAGAATTAATGTCAAACAGCTTACACACACAGGATGTTTCAGCCAACTAGTATTTAGACTAACAAAAAGTGGGTGCACACTACGCCTGCCCAACCAATGCAGTATTGTTCGCAGTCCTGTTGAGCAAGTCAAGATACATTTTTTGCAATGTGCCAAACTGGCTAATTTACACAGATTAGCAAGCTAAATTTTTAAATACTAATGTTTATGCGAGCCCTCAAATAAAGAACTCTTAGACCGCGTCGAGAAACATCCCATGGTATCGTTTCCCTAAAAGTAGACTTTATCTGTGTTTTCGAGCATTATAAACCTAACATCAACCGCGAGATTTGGAAAAAAAAAAAAAAAAAACTCTCACGTGACTATCGGCTAGCGAACCGAAAATTTTAAAGATTCATTTGGAATCTTTTAAAATTTTGGCACAAGTTAGCTGAAGCAACCTGTATGCTACATGATGTAGGAAAACCATCGACTTCAGGCACGCGACAGACATGTGTCCAATTTTTTTTTTATTTCAGGTCAGAGTTCCAGCTATTGCCACAGTGAATTAGAAGGAAACAAATCCCACCCTGAAAAAGAGCAATGAATAAAGCAATATTCATCGTCATGGTAACTTCGCATATTTTGTACCATGGTAAATGCCATTACCCTTTGATCTTGGAAACTCCTATCTCGGCAGCCTTCCCCGTGTGCTTTCTCAACTACGGTCACTGACCGGACAAACGCCAGATGAACGATTGTTAGGTTTTTGTCTTTAGCAGGTGCCTTCTTTGAGGGCAGGCTCGAAGCTTCCGCGTTGCCAGAAATTCATAGAACAAAGGGCGAAGAAACTTGCTTTCGTTTCAAAGATAGGGACTATAGACATCCCCGAAAGAGTTATTATTGCCTAACAACTGAGACGGACCCGTAGGACGTCAAATACAGCGCAGTTAAATGAAATAAAGGGACAAAATATTGAAACATGTTAAAAATATATATTTTTTTCACAGCATGTATGAGTATAGAAGCAAAGCAATACTGCTCTAAAGTCTTCAAGCGATGGAGGCAGCGGCGAATAAATCTCCGTGAAACGTTTTAAGCCTGGCAGGCTCCTCGTCAGCTGAACTAGTTCACTTCACTCAAGAAAAATGAAGTCAACTAGTCATAAGAGTGACGCAGGTTGTTCACACCCAGCCATAGCTTCCTTTATACTAAAAACGCCTACCCAATTTTTGGATTTTCTATGCTGTGGTGCCGCTGCGTCTGCTTCACATAATTACCGCCAAAGCGCCACCTCCCGATACAATGAAAATGATGATTGTCTGCTGTGCGCTGCTACACCGCAACGTAGGTAATTCCAATACTTCGGAACACATATTTTATAGCTGGTGAACGACAACATATTACTGTGGGACACGAACGCTCGCACCACAAGGAGTGTAGTGCAAGACGAAGGCTCACGCAACTAAGAGTGTCGTGCAAACAGGGTGTTCGGATTACCTTCTGCCATAAAAATATGTAGTTTCCCAAAGAAAATAAATATAGAAAACAATAGGTATGACCCATCACGAATTACAAGGCAGACGGACGAACAGGTGGTAAACTTTCGTAATGCCGAAACAGTGAACAATGAAAGTTTATAATGTTGAGGTCAAGAACCAGCGCGACGAAGAGCAGGTGAAGAGGAATTGCAACGGCCAGGGTCCTCTGGAGTTACAATCACTATAATCACTACAAAGTCCCCTAAGTAGCGTGGGAGGTGTCAGATGTGTCAGGGCTCACTTTTCGTAGTGACGTAGTATGCCTGTCGTCAGGCACCCTTCACTACCTCGAGCTGCGAGAGAGCGCTGGGCAGGTCAGTCACTCAAACAGCTCCGAAAGATGCCGCGGCAGGATATATGGTCCGATCCAGCTTTGACGACGGGGCGGCCCAAACCAAGCTGGGCTTTGAGTGAAGCTTCAGCATGATGCTGAGGATTCACTCACACGAGCTTTAAGGAAGGTCTGTCTAGACAGGCCTTTCTTAATATATGTTGCAAAAAGGTGCCTACTCTATACTTTCGAGTAACTGAAGGAAGAATTTGGGACGCAGTCTTTCCTCAAAACGGGCGCATCCGGAAAGAAAATGCGCATCCGCAAAGAAAAGTAGCAGCTCTTCATGCCACAGGCATACACTAAATGTACGCAGCGCACCACAGTTAAGTGCCGAGCGACTACGTTTAATGCCTAAATGAACCTTAATATTGAACTCCATTACATTATTACCGTATTTTCCCGGCTATATGCCCGCGCCGATAGTTAGCTTGGGACAGTTTAGCTAAGAAAAAAGTGTTTTTCTTTAGATAGACCGTATCTGCATAAGCCCTCACTATGTGGTTGCTTTAACTGTCCTACTCACGTTAAAAAAAAGTATTAGTCAGCTAAAAGGAGCGCGCAATGGTGACAAATAAAACCATAGGAAGGAATATTCATCTTCGTTTCAATAGTTTTTTTTTTGTTATTTTTAATATCATATTGGTAAAAAAAACCTGACCGTTTTTTTTTTTGTGGAAATCGTGGCTACATGTAGTAGTAATTTATAAGTTATAACCGCAAGCTGTGGATGTTTGTACCATCAAAACCAAGCTTAACATACCCAGTCCGCTTGGGTACAGCTGCCTTGCGAGTCACCCTCGGAGGCATCGAGATCAAAAGCCACACACTGGCAGTCTCAGCTTTTCTTGCTGACAAACGGCTAGTGTAAAATAGCATTATTGACAAGCGCACTCCCCTCTGACAATATATTTTGAAAAAGAAACCCTTGTGTAGTCCGGACCTTCAGAAACTCCGCAAAGAGTAGAGTGTCAAATATTGATACATGTATTTTCCGCGGACTGTTGCCAGAAAAAAAATGCGGTTTAGTTTTCACGAGAGCCCTTCAGCCCTGAAAGAAAGCTAAAAAAAGACCAGCGATAGCGAGGAATTGTAGCGAGACAAAATGCAGACAAATTTGTAGCCGCTCACTGGAAATGCCAGTATTGTGGAAGCAATTACACTTCGAAAAGTCGTACCTCAAGTTTCGTAGGTACTTTCTTGTTGACAATAGGCTCGTTCGATTAACCTGCAGCTCCTGCACCGGTGCAGAAAAGGGTAGGGCAGCGTACTTCCAGTATGTGTATTCAGATACGAACGGAAGTAAACTGCCCTACGCTTTTCTGCACCGGTGCAGGAAGTGCCGGTAGATCGAACGAGCCTAATATAATCACTCGTTATAGTCTGACAGTTTTAAGAGATTCATAATTGTTCCTCTTAGTTGTTCTATGCGTTTTGGACTACATTATAAGCATATAGCCATTGTATATATATGTGTGTGTGTGTGTATGTGTGTGTTTTGTGCTGGTTGATTACGTTTAGATTACAGAGCTTCAAGCCTAAAGGGTTCGCTGCAATTTGAAGAAAATGTAGTCATGGCTCTGCACTTGTTTCAGTTGTGGGACACGGAAACTACGCCAGTTTATGAGTCGTAGTATTTGAGATTACTATCGTAACCCTAATCAGAAGCATACATCATTTTGAAATATTAAAGGAAGGATCTCTAAAAAAAAGTGCTGTCGTCATCGTTGGCACCTCGGATCCAGCTTAGAGGCAAGGAACGGCGGTCTTACACCACCGACGGCGTAGATATTACTATACACGTTTTCACATAAAAAAAGAAGTGTATGAACTAGTTCGCGGTGCGAGTTCTTGCAAGATTTGAGTGTCAGAGGGAGAGATTATGTTTTTTGGCGTTTGAAACCTGCGCGTCTAGATAAAATAACGTGAAGTTAATCTAAGATGCATCTACAACGTGAACCCCCCCCCCCCCTTTTTTTTTACATTTTTTGTATTGCCAAAATGAACTACGCATCGCCGAACGCTCATTCTCCGCCCAAATGTAACACTCGAGGTCCAAACCAGATGCCAAATTTTCCAGTTTTCTAAAGAACTTATAAAAACAAAAACAAATTCCAGAATCATTTTTGCATGTCACATTCAAAACATTATGCTAACACAACAAACAAAGTTCACATTTGAATGTAACATTTTTATTTATTTAATTATCTGCAGCGGTTTCGCAACAACTGAGATGGGTAGATGTGGAGCAGGAATATGGATTCTACGACTGCATGGTAAACTTGGGATTAAAACTAGACGAAGCATGCCAGAAGTTTGGAACAATAGGCATGGTGCGTGATCGACGGATCTTCTATAACGTACCTATAAAAAAACTTTTATAAAATTTATAATACACTGCAAAAACCAACTTGTCTAATTTCTTCAAAACGGGTGGGCAGGAAACTGTGAACTTCACTGACTGCAAGATGGGATGCAAGAACGATACAAAGGACGGATTTGTCAACATTACGTACGACATTCCCGACAACACCCCTTGTGGATTTTTCGGCGAAGTAAGTCCACAAAAAATGTTCCCGTTTTATCGACGGTTTTATGTGCAGAAAAAAAATTAGAGGTCACATTTTGCGCATTTGTCGCTTATTCGTCGGTTCAAGCTGCACAATCAGATCAAAGTACGGGGTGAATCTGTTCTGCTGTATGGTCCGTTGCAGCCTTAGAATAACAAGGCGAGCACCTCTCACAAAGCTCTCTGCTCGCAATGATTTATTTATTTATTTACTGCCTCAGGGCCCGAAGGCATTACAGAGGGGAGTGGACAGAACATCTATAATGCAACACATAGTCAAATGTGTTGCATTATAGTGATTGGTGCCTCTCTCCTCTCCCCTCGCCTCGTCTGTAGCATTCGTTCTGATAGAGTGGGAAGAACTTTCAAGAAGGAGCTTGCCCTGCTATTATTTACCTCCAACACACTACAGCTGATTCTGCAGCCGGCCCGTAAACAAAACATCCAGTAAATTATGTTATAGAGTGTGCCTATAGATTTGAGTGTTCACAACTACTCAATCTAGGTCACCTGGTTTATGGGTTGCGCTTACAATACAAGGTGTGAAGAGGCACTCCGCTTGATTGGCCTCAAAATTAGCTCAACATATTGTTACAGGGATAATGTAAATGATTTACGCTGCGGTTTTTCTTCTTCGTTACGTTATCCCACTCCAGAGGCAAGCGTCGTCCCGCCGTTAGCTGGAACTAAGTACGGTCTGAGTCGCACAACGTGGGCGGTGTCGGCTTGAGTGCGGCGGTTATCGCGAGAGAGTTGTAAAGGTTCCATGGTGGGACGCATAAGGGGCAAGTTGGAGAGAGAGATCATGGAAGCGGCGCGTATACTTGCCTGTGAACCAGACCTGTGAACCAGACCAACAAGTCAGATGCACTGACCTGTTGGTCAGTGCATCTGATCAACAGGGAATTACTATTTCTCAATAGAGCGATCTCACCAAGCGTACGGCGCATGCGTGACGCCGCCATAACTTTAGTTCACAGAAGGAAAACGGCAGTGCATGATAGGGCTCGTGGCGTCTCGTGCTCAACACGCGCAAAGCTCCAGCGAGGTTGTCGCACGTGCGGAAAGACTAAAGTTCCCTCGATGTATTGCGGCAGCGGGGGCGTAGTCAAACTGCCTGGTGAGATCGGTCTATTGTGACCGCATACTGTACACGCGATCTTTAAAGGCCTAAGTGGTGTCCAGAACACGCTGCACGTGGTGCGAACGTAGAGTGTACGCAGCGCATGATCTCATTGTTTTCTCGTGCCGCTGTCAGAATTTTAATATTTTTTAATATTTATTCTGGTCACGCGTTTTGCAACCTCCTCCTAGTGCCGCTGTTTCTTTCTTTATTAGCATTTATCTCTTTTGAAAGAGAAAGAAGAGCTTCTGCTTGCGCGGGCCACTGTGCGCGCGTGGAAGTTAGGGTAAACCTTTGGTTGTTAATCAGCGTATGGTCCTGTGTTCTTCTTCTACTTTGTGTCTTGTCCCTTTTTCCCTGTTTCTCATTATGACGTTCCACCAGCCCGTTAATCTGTAGGTGGTAGACTGTCCTATTTTGGTGGACGATGGCGGATAGTTGTAGAATTTTGGCCACGAGCTGTGACACAAAAGGGCGCCCACGATCAGACAGAAGTTCTCGCGCTCGCCGTGCTTGAGAATGAGGTCTTCTAAAATAAACTGAGCAGCGTCTACCGCCGTACCATGTCAGAAACGGCCTTGTTCTGGCATAGCGTGTTGCATAATCAACGGCCACGGCGATCCAGCGGTTTTCAGTAGAGGAGGAAGGCAGCGGACCAAGGAGGTCCACTCTGTCAAATGGGCAGACCATGAGACGCAGGGGCTACGGAGACCAGCGGGCCGAAATTGTGGGGCCTTTCGGCGCTGGCAGGAATCACATGAGGAGACGTAACGTTTGATGCTCTTGTACTTATTGGACCAGTAGAAGTGATGCTTGACCTGTGCGTAGGTGCGAATGACACCCAAATGATCGGAGGTTGGGGCATCGTGCAATTCGTCTAGGACTGTACCTTGGAGGTGTTTGGGGATTACCAAAAGAAGAAACGGACCAAAGATGAAAGAGCGTGTTGGTGAAAATACAGGAGTCAAAGGAAGAATAAAAACACTTAGGGACAAGGACAGACAGCGCAGTTCTTTCGAAAGAACTGTGCTGTCTGTCCTTGTCCCTAAGTGTTTTTATTCTTTCTTTGACTCCTGTAGAAACGGACCACCTTGCCGAAATTTGTGTGGTACAGAATGGCATTATGAACTGTGTAAAGTCTAGAGGCCACGTTAGGCCTTTTAGCCTTTTGCACTGACTTTTCTTTCGGGCTCTGCCCAAGGGAAAACAAATAAATAAAGAAAGAAAGAATCTGTAGTGACTTCGTCAATGATGGTATGTACAGGGTGAAACAAGTAGACGCCAAGCTCTTTAAATCGACCGGAAAATTCGGTTTCTTAACCTATCACGCTACGACTTTGTGCAGCGTTGCCCACAGATGGTGTATTTTTTTTTTTTTTTTTGTAAAATTGGCGAAGAGCGAACTTACCTGAGGAAAAAGTAAAGAAAGAAAAAAAGCTTAGCTCCTATGGAAACGCAGCGACGCCACCGGTCTGCGAACAACACGGCGCCGTTTCGCACGGGAGACAAGAGATGGCGCAACAAACGCCGCCAACGCAGAGCCGTTTATTGAAAGAGTTTGGCCATACATTGGTTTGAATAGGCGAGCATCTCTGGGCCAACCACAGGCCGCGAAACAGCCCCTAGCGGTGGTCGTGAACTCTAAATTTGTGACACGACTAATTCAAGCCGTTTTAGCGTCGCTAGAGTTAAAAGGCGTAACTCTCAGTGACTGAAAACTTTGTGCGTGCGAGGTTTTCGTCACGCCAATATTCAAGTGTAGAATAAACGAACGTGCGCTCCGAACCAGGGCCAACTTGCTACAAACAGCGTCTCAGCTGAGACGGTGAAAGAAAGCACTGCATGCCTAAGCCAGCGCACGAGCCGAGCGGGACTCCGCGTCTCCAGACGCTCGCGCGCCCAACCCTTTGATTAACGATTAAAACAGCGCATGGACACGGACAAGAACAAGAAGGTAGACAAACAAGGCGCTGACTTACAACTGAAGTTTATTCGTTCTAACAGCGAGTATAAATACTGTATCGTCACAACAAACAAACATGAATAAAAAGCTTGACCTGGATGCCACGTGCTCACTAGCCATCGCTATGCACTGTCACTGTGTGTCTAAATAGGAACGTTCCTTATCTGATAAAGATAGTGACGGAGTGCTGACACAGTTTTGCCCCAATCTTCCAATTTCGCGCGCCTCAATGATTTCCCGAGTGAGTTTGTCTTTATTTTTCCTAACCACTTCACACTTGTCAAAGACGGGAGCGCAGCAACAGTCTCGGCAGTGCAGGCCAAGGTGACCTGACACAACTCTAAACACGTTATACTTGTGCTCCCGCAGCCGATCATTGAGGCATCGCCCCGTTTGCCCGACGTATCTCCTGCCACACGAGAGGGGAATAGAGTACACTACTCCCTCCACACAGTCTACGAATTGGTCCTGGTGTTTTTTGGTGCAACCCCGCTTTTCTTTAGAACAGGAGTTCACTTTTCTGCACAGCCCAGATAGCTTCTCCGGAGCCGAAAAAACCACATCAACTCCAACCCTACGGCCAACTTTCTTAAGGTTGTGAGATATCTTATGGAGGTATGGTAAAACAGTTACTTTTTTGTTAACTTTACGAGCCTGCTGGGTAGTTTCCTCACGTCCTTTCTTAAGTAAGCTCTCAGCAACTGTCGTCAACAGGTAAGACGGATAACCCGCGTGTCTGAGCCTTGCCGCTTGTGTGTCGAAGCTTTCTTTCACCCTGTGGGGGCAAAACTTGAACAGGGCATTTCTAAAACAGAGGTTAACAATTCCTCTTTTCACAAGTTTGGAATGCGCTGACGAAAAAGGCAAGATGGGTTTCTTTGCTCTTGGTTCATATATCCAGCACACATGGCCGTGACCAAGTTGCAGGCTCAGGTCCAGAAACCTAATGGCCCCATTTACAGGTACTTCATGCGTCAGCACCAACGGTTTCAGACACTCTTTGAACGTTGACAGGACAAACGACACAGCCGAATCAAATTCCTCATTGTCACAATCTAGGAGCTCCAAATAGTCGTCTACGAATCTAAAAATTTTCCCCACCTTGGTTCCTTCCAGCGTGCCTGACAGGACTTTGTCGTGGAACGCAAGAAATATATCGCTAAGTACTGGGGCTATACATGACCCTATGCACACGCCATTTCTCTGAATAAAAACACCGTCATTCCGGATCGCGAACGTCGACTTGAGATAAAAAGATAAAAGTTCTAGAAAGTGACTCACACTGAGTCCAGATTCATTCTGAAACGCCACGGTACCATGATTGTCAATACATTCTTCCACAGATGCCAACAGCTCTTTATGGGGAATCGAATAGTACAAATCTTTAATGTCAATTGAGCAAGCCAACAAGCTTCGGTCTGGATGGTCTTTAAAAAAATCTATTATCTCATCAGAGTTCTTCACCCGAAAGGGATCATCAATCATTAACATATTTAGTTTTGTTTGCAAAAATGAAGCCACAGATTTTTGCCATGTCCCTTTCTCAGACACGAGACACATACACATGGCGTCTGGCGTCAGACACATGGCGTCTGACGTCTAAAGCGTCAGACGCCATAACGGCCACGTTTAAGCGCAGGGATGACGTGTCACTTTCGAAGGTGAAAACTGAAGCACGTAAGCTTTGCAAACAGCTAAGCCTAGATAAACTGGGCCAAGCCATTGATAAGGGCAAATGCTTAGGTTTAGATTTATTTTTTTCTGCTAAAACGCACAAGACTAACTGTCCGCTACGCGTGATCGTGTCTGAGAAAGGGACATGGCAAAAATCTGTGGCTTCATTTTTGCAAACAAAACTAAATATGTTAATGATTGATGATCCCTTTCGGGTGAAGAACTC